GTTTGCGGAACAACATAACTAAAGGTTGCTCAGACTAAATGTAATTCACACCTCTAGTACGCCACTCTCACCTATTTGGTTACCCCTTTTATAAAATGCTCAAGTCTATCGATAATTCTCTCAAAGTCGTGAGCTCAGTAAACAAAACCCACGATCTCTTCAATGGTCGTGGGCCCACTGTCCCTGGTTCTTGACGGCTTAGATTACCTACGGGTGTGAACTGATCAGTGGTCAGGCATAGTTCTTCACAGCCTATAATATTACTTATGCTATAATATAATCCATAAGATGTGTGACTGGAATATAGTGACAACACAGGCATTTGTGAAGTAGTCCTGTTGCGTTGCTTTGTATGCCCACTGTTATGCTGGAATTAGGAAACCGTTATCAGTCTGCCAATAAATTCTCCAATCCCTGTTGGTAATCTCATCTCCTCTCAAACTGTTTAAATCTGCGTCAATCAATCAGCATCGTGAACCTCGAAATGACCAGTGCACTAACATCCCAGTGGAATGGACGTTTCGTTTAATAGCTGCGGCTTCACGTTGTTCTTTTTCTAGTTCCAATGCTTGCGCTTCCTGCATTTTTGTCTTCTCGTCGGCCTCGCGCTGCTGGGCTGATGCGATGTTAGGTTCAAAATTAACACCGTGCTGAGTAGTTAGGTGACTTATCTTTGCTTAACCAGATCCCTAATCTTCCAGCAAATCTTGGCTCCTAGATGTGTTTCATGTTACTATTTGCCTTGATATTCATATTGTTCTTTAGTGGAGAAGAGGGATCACCAGCAGTTCAGGAGAAACTCACATGTGCAGGCTGCCTGTGAGCAGACTGATTAGGATCAGGCTGTCCATAACCAGGCTGTCCATACCCAGACTGCGCGTAAGCAGTCTGATGAGGATCAGGCTGTCCATAACTAGGCTGTCCATAACCAGGCTGTCCATACCCAGACTGCGCGTAAGCAGTCTGATGAGGATCAGCCTGGCCATAAGGATAGGTGCCGTATGGATAACGTCCAGAGTAAGACATTTAGTAAATGGATGCTTGGGACTTTGGGACAGAAATATAATTGTGAACGCCAGGAGCAGGGTGCCAGATCGGCTTAGGGGTTTAAATACCTACGGAATTTGGCGCCACTCGAACTATTATGTCAAATAAATGGTTAAGGCAAAATAGATTGGCCTAAACTTACTGAACTACGCCAATGTCCGACGCAAACTTGCTAATTGCTCAATTCCGTGGTTAATGATGCGCTCGTATTGTCAGAGGAGCTCACAATAGAAAGGGTTTCTAGTGTCAGCCAATAGCAGTTTCACTGCTCCAGACCCTTTAAGAACAGGTGACCAGTTAATAGTATGATCTTCGTGTTCTAGACCATTGACGTGAACTTAGGAGGGGTTATATCATAGGGTGTAATGCCACCCAGATCGTAGCGTGACGGGAAAGTTTAACTATTCTCAAAACAGCCTTTCGCATGCCACTCATTAAAGAAACCCTGAGTATCTTCATGTATGCTGATGCTTTTGTTATATGTACTAGATTACAACACAGGCCTTTTGGTATATCATGTTAACTATAAAAAAAATCATAAATACCACAAGGGCTTTGTTTTGTTAAACATATTGGCTGTTGCGTTCCTGAAAGGAAAGCACTAATATACATCCGTGCGTTACCCAATACAGCACAGTCCATGCTTTGTCATGCATAGTAAAATTGGCTACTGTTTGAATTCATTTGGCTATCTTTACTTTTCTTGCCTTAACTAATTGCGATTCTGCTCGAAGGTTTTCAATAAAAGGTGCATTGAAATGTCAGTGATGAGGCACACGATGGATCCATACAAATGTCAATTGATTTAATACTTAGACAGAACATACTCCTCCAATTCTCGCGAACGTTGTTTACCAGTAGGGTAGAAACCGAAGTAGTGAAAAGGCAGAGCCCGAGACGAAGCAGACACACATTCCGCAATGAAAGTTATTCGACAATGGGATAATATTTCCTTATACTTCAGGTTTGGGTAGGCACACTTCCAATGAATACCACTTCCACGGCAGCAAACCTTTAATAAGCCTTAGCAGACTGCATTCACTGTGGGAGAAAATCTTAACTCACGCGCTTGTGGCAGTAAAGATTTCGACCCTGTTCGCTGAGGTGACAATAGCCAAGGTAGCTGCAAAAAGCCCTGTAAATCCTATCATGATGCCGATTCTGGCCCAGATAGTTTTCACCAGATATAGAACTATGACAGTTAAAACCGGTATCACAGAAGAAATCATCACTGTTGGTACTCTGCTCACACCCTTCAGGAAGGAGTCAGAATAGTATTCAACAGGGCCAAGCTCTAGGTCGTGTATTTTGGAACGCTGTTACTGATTCAGTTTGTGTCCTCTCGCTGGATTGCACATGTAAACCAGCCTACCTTCCTTAGGCATTTTTTTAGTCTAGGGCCTAGTGCTGTGATCATTGAATATATTGCCTGGGACAATATATCGTTGTCTGTGTCCCTTTCGCCCAATGAAACAAGGTCATTTTCTCTTTTCAAGGTAAAGGCCTCACTACCCATTTGAAAGTGAGAGCCACCCTCTGGAGCCTGAAGCCACTGGCGAAGAGAACGTAAATTATCCTTGGTCGGTTGCTTCAATTCTGATATTTGAGCAAGCTGTAATAGTCTTTTGTCTAACAAGTATATATCGTTTAGTGTCGTCCATCGGAAAACGGGGAAATACATATTCACGCACTGTATTCCCATAGCTTCTTGCGAAGTTTGTTCAGTACCTGGAATTGAGCATCGTTACTACTTCCATTCGAGTTCCGCAACCGATGAAAGTAGTTGCAAAGTTGTTTGTCCCTCAGATCACTTGAGGTAGAGTCTTCGCGCCAGATATCTAGCAACTCAACTCGAAGCTCGAGAAGTTCGGCTTGGAGGCTGAGGAGACACCACATGTTAAGATCGCCAAATTTTCGGAATATTGCTGCTTCACTGTAAGTGCCCATGAATGTAGCCAACTTTGGATAGCCTTCTAAAATTTCAGCTGAAGGATTCTGTGATCGCCCGGCCAACTTTGAACTGTTTCCTCCGGTCGACATAATGAGTTCAGAGTATGAGCCAGTTATTTGTGATATATAAAGAAGGTTCTCTGGTGAAGCAGTTTAACATATGCCGAGGGAGTGGGGTGGGGCTTTTAGATCCCTCTCCCTCCTCCCTTCCCCCTCCCCGATGATTCATAGCTTGCAAGTCACCCTTGCCACAGCAAACTGGGAGGGGGAGGTGTTCCAAAGGACTTCTATGCGCCGACAAATCTAAATTCGAGAATTGAATAGGTTTGGGGTTTGTGGTTTGTGATGTCATTTCATTCCAGCTAATTTAAAAATCAGGAAATAGATCCCAGATCTCTTGCAAGTTATTCGGTCACATGATGCGCTACATTTGCTTAAAACTATAGTTGAACCAGTCGTCTTCATAATAGCTTGTAATACCAGCATTTCCCCACTCTAGTATAGAAAACAGGTACTACTAACACTATAACACCAGAGTCGCGAAGTAACCGTCACTGCCCCTACAACCTCTGGGCCCGCAGAGGCGGTCGCACATTCTACCCGCCGCTAGCCCGGTTCAGCGACTAACCGTACGAATAGGGATGCACTCGGTGCGGGTTGGGTACAACCCGCAGGGTCAGAATTCAACCCGCGCGGGTTTGCGGGTTCTAAGGATATTAACCCGCACCGCACCACAACCCGCAACGTTTGGAATAGTCCGCACCGCGCAATCCGCATTCTATAATACTATACCTAATAGAGTTATATTACATCGGCCACTAAACTAACTATGGTTAGATCTATCCTTTATGCAGTGCGGATTGTCCGCATCGTGGGCAACCCGCACTCTCAAAATTTTCATCGTAAACGAAATCGCGTATAACACTATCAGTTTTAGATATTTTATTATTTAGAGTGGTGGAACTGAATCTAGATATCTAAAATAATAGGGCGACATACAGTATTATTAAGAAAAATCAATGGTGTAGCGTAATCTTATGAACAATCAAGAATACGGATCTGTTACATAGGTAGATATATATATTATGGTTGCAGATTAGGGCTACAGCCGTTGGAGAGATCAGATTCTTCCATAACATTGGAATTTACTGAAAATTAGATATTCTTCGTCTAATATATTAAAGTTGTAACTATAGCCTACGACTAAAAAACAGGTACAAGAAGCAACAGGTTATTTAAGATCCTTAAATTCGTTTAACAGACTACGTTGGTAACCAGATAGTAGGGTGTCCATTTATTCCTTAGAACTGTTTTAGAAATACTGTTATACTCCTAAGTAGTCCAGTAGTATATATCTAATTTTTTTTTCTAACTCTTGACTGATAGATCGAAACCGGCTGGGGTGAAGCTGAGGCAAACAGAAAATTTACTGTGGGCTGCGTCGGTCGCTACCTCGCCAAACAGAAAAAAATTTTTTTTTTTAATTTTATTGTGGGCTGCGTCGGTCGCTACCCTCGCCAAACGAAGTGAATCAGCTTAATTGGAAATCTACCCACGGGTAATTACATTCAGATTACGTAATCAAACGTCCAACCAATTAGATCTCTTTCCTAAAATAACATCAATATCTTTATTCACTACCTCTTTATTCTCCCATTCACTTAATGGTTCAAAGATCGCGGCAAATTCCATTGATTCACCATGGGTAGACGACATAATGAAATGCGACCTCCAACGGCTTTATCTATTACCTCCCATTAATTCCTCCATGGTTTAATCCATCTTCTCTCCTCATCCCGGTTTTTCATTCTTGCACCCCATCCTTGAAAATCGAGGTTATTCGTCATCTACCCCCTTTCTCTAAAATCGCTCACCCTGGTCTGTTTACTGGCGTTTAAGCCCCCAATTCTACCCGTGGGTTAATTTCAGAGTATCCACTCTCGATCTCTCTACCCACTTAGCCCCTTTCTTGTCAGCCAATCCAGCACGTACATGACGCCGTGATGGCACGAAAACGACAAGCGTCGGGTTCCAACTCCGCCCCTCCCAGTTCTAAGAAACCCAAGCAGGCACGCGGTAAAGGCAAGAAAGTAGGAGAGCCTACTGAAACCGCTCCTACAGCTGGCGTGATTGTAGAAGATACAATCAACCAGGCCCTGGAAAAAGCCTTTTTAGGAACTATATTGGTGGATGTTCGGTACCTCAGTGTCCAATGGGAGAACCAAAAGAGAAACAGAGAGCTCCAGCCCAGTTTAGTCGCCCGCCTTAAAGAGGCATTCAAGAATGGGATCAAGAGATATGCTATTGAGGATCACCTGAAGGCGACTACTACCGAAGCTGAATTTGATCGTCTCCTTGAACTCAACTTTCCTCTCAACGAAGAACGGAGAGATGCTGATCTTGCCCATCTTCGCACTCGCGCAGCGACCCATTCTAGTCTTAAGGTATGAGTTATTTCTACCCATGGGTTAAATCTGGACTAACCTGATTTAAAAGGACACTATGCTTCATGTGACAACAGTGCCACCCGACACCCCACTTACCCTGCGAAACGGCCAACATCGGGTGCAGGCACTCGTTGAACTTTGTGATGAACAGAAGGAGCTTGCGGCGGCCGGTGCCTTTGACGAGTCTGGCAACCCTATTGGCGAACCAGTCAACGACGTGAGCAAGCCCTTAATCTACCTATGGCTAGAATCTGAACTCCACTAACCTGTCATATTAGGATTATCTGTGGGCTGTGGACGTTTACGACAACAGCCAACTCCAGACTGAGACCCTTGATGCGTTGATTTCCAACCGCGATGTTGTTCGAAAGAATAACTCCGAAGGCTATAACGCGCTCAACATCATCACATACATCGAACAGTTGGATGGTAAAGAGAGAGCTGAGCGCCTAAAGGCCACCAACTTTAAGCGGTGGCTGAACAACGTCTTCGGGGTAAACCTCACATACACAACGCGCATGATCTCTGTCCTGAAGGATAAACACCTGTCTAAGATGATCCGCTACTATTGTGGTACGAGATATGGAGAGAACGTTTTCAATTGGTCCTTAATGTCTCGCATCCAAGCGGGAAAGCAGACAGAGGTAAGTAAGCCCCTATATACTATTTGATTGGAAAGTCTGACTATGGGTAGATGTGGAAACTGGAATTCAAAAAGTTCCAGAACTTTTGCTCCACCATTTTTGGGGTCAAACATCAGAACCTTATCGCGTACAGCGACTGGAAGCTAATTCTTGCTCTGGACCAGGGCCGTCCACTTGGCCAACTGAGACTTCTTTTTTTCCCTAAACGCGAAGATTACTGGGTGGAGTATACTGATGCTCCCCCGGGAAAACGCAAGACACCGTTCCCAATCTCGAATGACTACTCTAGCAAATTGGAACTTCCCAAACTGGATTCCCCCATTGTTATCCAGAATCAGGAGTTCTCCAACAGACGGCCTGATTTTCTGGTCAATCTCTCTGACGCGTCATACAAGGATGTTTTCAGAAATCTCCATACCCATCAGAACCTCTACTGCCCCACATGGTAAGGTCTTAAATCTGCCTATGGTTAGAAACCTCTGACCGATTATAGGAATAATTGGGTTGATCTGGAGAAAAATGTCTCGTCCGTTGTGTCGAAGATCTTACATCATATAATGATGTGGATCGAGCCTTCCTGGAAACTCCCATCAAAGTCAAGTCATGAGTGGATATCATTCAGCTGGCTTGAACAGATTGAAGCGTTTGTATTCCCGGAAGAAGATGACTCGGCGTCTCCATCAGAAACATCAAAACAGAACGCATGGGAATTTCTTCAGAGTCTGTGGGAACTTGTCCGCAATGAAAACTTGTGGCAGGATTCAAGTCTCCAGTCCTTCGTATGTGAAGATTCTTTAGCGTCTTATTTTGCCCGATACCACCGCATACTAACTATAACTAAAATAGCTAACTGTACCCGAATCCACCTTGAGTGACGATCTTGAGGAAGATGAAGAGAATACCCCTAAGAAAGGTCGAAAGACATGGGAGAGCGATGAAAGACGCCATGAATATCTTCGTCGTTTCCAATATATCCATTGGATCCAGGTTGTGAAGTTGGTCATTGAAGCGCGACCAGGCTGTCTGCAGGGCTTCATGAGCGAATTTAATGATATCGACCGCTTGGTAGGTGATTCCTTGTTCTAATAATCTGCCTATGGGTAGATCACTGGTGCATTATCTAACATATTATTTCTGTATAGACCGCCGCTTATGAGCCATACACTCCTTGGGGGGACATTTTCAGCAAAATGAATTTCGCGCAGAACAAAATGTTGCAGAAGACGCCATGTCTCAACTCGATGGTGATTCGAAGTAACATTGCTTTACAAGGAGATGTTCTTGGCGCTATCGTCCACTACCGCCATCTGAAACAGCAGATGATCCTGACCTGCGAATGGGGCTGGAAAAAACCCGCCAAGAGGAATCCATCCAGACCATTGGTTTTAATCGCCTCTCCTGTACGTTTTCACCCTAGCCAAGTAATCTACCTATGGGCAGATTCTAACCCAGAATTAGGAAGAATACGAGACAGCGGTGGAAGTTTTGCAGGAACTCAGCGCGCTTCTGACCAAGTTCGGTTACAAACCTGACATTGACGATTGGAATGAGCATCTCCCGTCCTTCACCATCGATCGCTCAGAGGAAATTACCCGCCCCGAAGGTCTAACCCCCAAATATGGCTTTCTTAAAGCGAGACCCCCGGCGTACAACAGTCTGGAGGATGAGGCCAAGGCGATGGTTAAAGCTCTCCAGACAAGCATCGTGAAGAATCGGCTTGAACGGCCTTTACCAGCCAAAACTTTACGTCGTCTGAAAAAGACTTTATCTAAAGGTAAGTTTCTGTCCGCGGGTAGATCTCCATTAATACTAATAAGTATTATGAATTAGTTGATCTGGAGACTCCTCTAGAGGCACAGCCGGCTGAGCAAATTCTCCGTACTGATGGTACCGCTCTTAAAGGGGATGACTATCATAAATACCGTTCGATAATCCGAAAACTCCATATCAAGCTTCGAGAAATTTTGGATGCAGAAGACATTACTCAACTCAGGGAATGGCGCAAGGAATACAGGCAGGCTCATAATGCTTTTAACGTGTCTTGCTCTGATGAAATTGTCCGCTGAGATTTTGGATGACTATTCTGATTCAGGAGAGGGATCCGACGAAGACGAAGAAGAAACCGAAGGTGGGAATGGAGAGAATAGTGGAGATGGTGAGAATGGTGGAGATGGTGAGAATGGTGGAGACTAATTTCTGGCTATTCCAGCGGGATTTTCTAACCATGGGTTGATTGCTTTTGTGTGTGTAAAATATTTTTGTGTACGATACCCCTGTAGAGTATTCTGATTTTCTTATTACTCTAACTTCTTAATTTTTCTCCCCCTTTAGTAGGATATTATTACTTCTTCTCCTTACTCTTACTCCTTTACAGGTAAATATTAAGATGTCATCTTGTGAACGGGGTTCTAGTACCCTACCAGAGTCACAACAGTCTCTACCTTCATCTGCCATAGGGTGTTTGCCGACTAGACTTAGAGTCCCAACAACGTCGATGCCATGTAAAAATTCGCTGAGGTATAGAGTAGCTAATGCACAATCCTGCCCTTCAATCAGAATTTTAATATCTTCTTCCGTTCGCGTGGAATCGTTAGCCAAAGTTGGCAACTTTTGAGGTTTTCCGGGTGGAAGATTACTTAATCATCCCGCTCGACTTAACGTCTCAAAACTAAGCCTTTTTCGATTAAATTCCTCAACACTAAACTACTTTCAGATTTGTCCTCAACACTAGACCTATTTTGGTTTTATATTCTAATCACCTCTACTTCCTGGCATACTGTACACTGCTTCTTTCAACCGCTATGCTTTGCACATTCTGAACACTGGTTTACTTATAAGGGAAAGTGTAAGAACTTTCGGTCATGTCCGAAAACCTTGCTATCGGTTGCCCTGGCTAGGGAAGGATTGTAATAATGCGTTGTTTTAAGATCATCTTCGAGACAGAAATAGAAACCGACCTATTCATCCTGTTACCCCTTTTTCTTATTTCAACTTTCGACGACCAAGGCACTTGAAATCTCTCTATCTTATAGCGCCGCCTACTTTCTCTCCCCTCTCTTAGGCTTCGGTTCTAGTGATTCTTCCGTTATTATGTCTCCCCTTAACTCTACTTCCACCCGAAAGCGCGGTCGGCCCCCCAAGTATCAGTCTGCAGAAGAGCGACAGGCCGCGAAGATAACACGACAACGAAATCAGCGACAAGCCGCCCAAGCGGCTAAACGCAACACCTTCTTTGATGAATACTACTCGGCCGGTCCATCTGCAACTGGTGAACGCCCGATCGCTCTTGTTCCTGGCATAGCGGCGTTGTCGGTGACCCATGAACTGGAAGAGTTGCTCCCGCCGTTAAGCCCCGATTCAGCTCCTCTTGAGCTCGAAGATAGCTCTATCCTAATTGACGAGCCGCCTCTAGAGCTCAACAGTCTCGAACCTGCCGCTAGTCCTACCCCTAACCTTCCCGAAACAGTGCCCGACCGACGCACAGTGAGCACCTCGAGGGGTGATCTATCAAATTTAGAAAACCGGAAGGCCCTGCCCCAGCGGCTGCCGAGGATAGCGAGGATGTTTGCACGCTGGCACGCGTGCTGGCCGACCAGCTATATCAGCATCACGGCTGTTGTCGAGGAGTGCCATGAGCAGGCCTGCGCGGCGCACCAAGAGACGCATTCGGTTCATACCGGGCTGGGGGAGTATGTGGACCAGATTAATATCGCTGGCGATTTCCCGGATGTGCTGGGCTCGGCTACAATCGCGGCCCGCGAGTCCAATCTCGCCCAGCAAGTCACCAAGGCACGAAAACAACAGATCTACTGCGGCATCGATCCTCACAAGCCCGATGAATCCCCAACGCATCTCTGCGTGGCAGCCGACCATCGTCCCGATCCTTCCTTGGGCGTGACTGTTGATATCGATAGCGTGGGTGGGTTTGTCAGTAGTCTGGCGGTAGCTCGTCGGGGGATCCGATGGCATCCTACGCAGATGGCGGTGTCCGACCTCCAGTCCAGCCTGCATATAGATCCGGTTTCAGTCCAGTATTTCGACTCAACCGGGCAGGCCCACCATGTTCGCCGGCCGGTCCATCAAGTGCCGCACTATACCTTTGGTCGTCTAATTGGATTCGAAGATATCTCTCTGTATCTGCTCTTTCCCCGACTGTACCGGGAAGATCAGCAATCCAGCCGTCTGCTAGACCAGGATTTCCAGCAATGGACGGACGAAATCCTCCTCCCAATCATCAATCGGTGTTATTCCGGCGACCTAATCCAGCACTACCCCTCTAGCTTTGACCATAGCCGGCTGAACGCAACCGCCCGGGGAGTAGAAATGCGGTCCCAGCGAGTGGATCCCATCCCCCGCGAGCAGCTCCTTGCCTACTTTCTTCCTCCCGAGGCGCTTCCTACGATCTGGGAACAGATTCTAGAGGCGACCCACCGCCCCGGATGCCACCAGTTTCAGGATCTCAAGATTCTGATCGAGGGGAAAAACCTAAAGACCTTGACTAAGGCAGACACATTAGCCGATCTCATGGCGGGCTTTCAACAACACTGGCAGAACGCTATTAATGAGGACTATCTCGCTGAGCCGTTCTTCTACGACCTTGGAAAAGAAACCTGCCCAACCACGGCGAGCGAGCGAGAGAGGCCGCCGCAATCTTTACTCTGGCGGCGTTGTTGCCTGAACGCGTATAGCCAGTGGATCCATAGCAAGCAGCCAGCGGACGCGCCCCATGCTCTGCAGCACTTCTACCCAATCAGTATGCTAGAAGACACCGGCAGCCTGACGTTAGAGACCCGGCGAACATCACCGCAGCGGCGGGCCGGTCTCTATTATAGTCAATTCTACGCTAGTGTGAAAGAGGTCTTCGCCGCCGGCAATACATATCCATTTACCAATACTGCAACGGAGACCTTGGCGCTGGATCCCCAGCTTCGCAAGACGTGGCAGACCGTTGGCGGTGGTCTTAGCCATAATCCGATCGCGCTCAACCGGGCCTATCTCACCACAAAGCAACGGTGCCATGCTGCGTTACAAGGATCGGTCCCTAAGGTCTTTGGCCTGCGCGAAGAGCACCGGGTCTCTCACGCTTTATTTTGTCAGATTCTGCACGAATTTCAGACCCGGCAACAGTCTACCACCCGATTTCTGGGTTCTGGAGATCGGGTCGAGAGTTACTACGCTTTGCCGACCTTGACGCTTCTTCGCTGGTTCCGATGGAATATCAACAAGTTTTGTGTTGGGTTTGAAATGGTGTACAGCTTAAATGACCGGCATTTTGTGACCTGGGAGCATACCCGGGTCATGTTAATGTTCCTCCGCTGCCTTTCCATTCTCCTACTCCGGCGGCCTTTTGGAGCGGGTCTCCGGCTGTTGGCGCGATGTCTGGTTTCGCCCGGATCCCACCCAGCCGGACGGTCTTCGGCGGTGCGAGGGGCTGGGCTTCCAGCGGAATATGCAGCAATTTGGGTACGGCTGGTTCCTGGAGAAGATAGATTGGGAGATGATGGTGTTCCGACAGCCGGCCACGCAATACATCCAATTCAACAACCCGTCGCTCCAAGCCGCGTACCACGCGCGTTATTCCCAGGTGCGGGATGTTCGCACGGACTTCATTCGCATCAGCCAGATCCACCAGTGGATGACCGAGTTTAGCAGTATTCCTACCTGCCAAGACTATCTGCAGAAATATCTGCGGCAGCTGTGTTTGCGGGCCTTTCGCAAGGATGTTTTTACGCAGATCAAACGGCTTCTAAAGCCCGAATCCGTCACCGTAGCGTTAGCGGGAGAGACCCCGCTCTGCTGGCCGAGTCTTGAAGGCGCGCTGCAGGCCCAACACTGTCCGCCCTATATTGCGTCGGGGAACCGCATGGCGGTCAAACATATCAATGTCCTTTTTACCTGGCTATGGGAGTGGCGCGATGGCCGATTCGAACGAAAAGGATGGGATCACAAGCCCTACCGACTTCTTTATCAAAAGAGCTTCGAGGTGATTACCCTTATCCAAGGCAAGGACGCCGCTCGTCAGTGGAAACAGGGTCTGAAAGATTCCTTTATTCAGAGCCATTGGATGCTCCCCTATCCTCAGAACAATAGCTTCATGCGAAAGTCGAAGGAGAGTGGCCAGGTGATGTGGTGGTCCAGCGTGCATCGCGGGATGGATCTGTACTACCACGAGCTGAATGTGTTTGACCGCCCCTTTCCGGCGTCCTATATCAAGCATCATCCGACGACCGGTTGGAGCCCATCGCAGCCCTCTCTCGCCCATCTTGACTATACAATTGAACCTGAACAGCGCCTTCTGCATCTATCAGATCCCGAGCTCTATCAGACCCTACGCGATCTACAGAGCCAATGGACGTCGCTAAATAGGCCGCCCCAACGACCGGTACACCAATCTTCGCGAGTAATTTTTGAGAATCAGGAGCGGATCCAGAATCCATTTGATCCGATCACTGGTCCGGTTGAGACATGGTCGATCTCCGCGTGTAGCCGGAAGCTCCATCCCGCTCTATATAAATATGA